GTGGGGGGCAGGGGCAGGTGTGGGGGTACAGGGGCAGGTGTGGGGGTGCAGGGGCAGGTGTGGGGTGCAGGGACAGGTTTGCTGGGGCATCTCTTTCTTTTCTGTTTCTGGTCCACCTCTCCAGGTGGGCAGACACCCCCCAGAACTCTGGGCTTTCGAGGCTTTGCTGAGCTCCTCCAGGGGAGGGGTAGAGGGTGAGGGAGGATGCCCGCCATGCCCTCCCCATAGGTGTCAACATTGCAAAGCAGCCTTCCAAGGGGAAGCTGCTGCTGGGGTGGGGTCCTCCTGGGAGGGGCCTGAGGCCTGGACTGCCAGGCGGGGCTGGGGACACTCCTCTCCAGTCGCCGCACCTGACTGATGCTTCTGCAGAGGAAACCACTATCGGGGCTCAGATACCCCATGCGCCCTCTGACCTCCAGGCCTGTCCCCACGCTGTTCCCACTCTCTCCCTCCCGGCTTATTCATGTCCATCTTTTAGGACTTTCTCCTGGACGCACCTCCTCCAGGAAGGCTTCTTCCTCCTCCCTGCCTCCCTCTCCCAGGTGCATCCTCCCAGGGCGCCCTGCGCTTCCTCAACCCCAGGTGGGTCCCAGGCGCTGCTGTGTGCTGCAGGCCTCTGAGATTGACTGGGGGCATCTGGAGGCAGGGCTGTGGGTGGGGCAGAGCTCCCATCTGTTCCACCAGCCCAGCACCCAGATCGGCCTGGCAGAGAGTGGCACCCATCCTCCCCTTTGGCTGAATGAGTGGCCTGAGCAAGCCCCATCAAGGCTGGCAAGGTGTGGCCGAGTTTCTCATGCTGGCATTCAGGATGAATGCCACCTGGCCCAGGCCCCTCTGAAACCTACCTACCCAGTGTCTTGGTACTGGTCTGGAATTGGCTTCCACCCCCAGCTATACCCTCACAACCCACAAGTCCTCCCAGCCGAGCAAGGCTGACACCTCCTCCAGGAAGCCCATTGGGTCCACACTTTAGTTTTTTCCTACCTTCTAATCCCATCACCACTCTTGTTTTGTTTTGTTTTGTTTTTTGAGATGGAGTGCAGTGGTGAAATCTTGACTCACTGCAACCTCCACTTCCGTGGTTCAAATGATTCTCCTGCCTCAGCCTCCTGAGTAGCTGGGATTCCAGCTGCCTGCTGCCATACCTGGATAATTTTGTGTATTTTTAGTAGAGATGGGGTTTCACCATGTGGGCCAGGCTAGTCTCAAACTCCTGGCCTCAAGTGATCCACCCACCTTGGCCTCCCAAAGTGCTAGGATTACAGGCGTGAGCTACTGTGCCTGGCCCTGTCACCATTCTTGATGGCAATGGTCTTTGGTTCAAGCCAGTTCCACCACCTGCCACCTTCGAGGCCTTGGACAAATCATTTCATCCCTTGGAGCCTCAGTCCCCTCACCTGGGACTTTGGGAACCATATTTGTTGAATGAATGAATGAAATCAGGCGGGGTGGCTGGACTAAGTGAGAAACCCTGCAGACACCCCCAGCATGGGAGGTGAGCAGTATCAGAGCACTGGAGGCTCCTGGTTTTGGCACCTGGATGGGGCCCGGCCTGGACCAGCCTGCCCACAGGTGGGGCGAGGCCAGGGCCAACATGTGTGCTCAGTGCAGGACTTCTCAGAACCTTTGTGAAGCTCATGGCCCTGGGAACTTTCAAGGGGTGGGAATGAGCACTGATCATTGAAGTCATTTGACCCTGTCCCTTCACTGGAGCTCCTGTTCCATCCATCCCAAAGGCTGGAGCACTGGTGGGGGCTGCTACCTCCCTGCCCCCACCCACAGCTTGTTCAGTTTCTGCTGGGCACCAGGCCATGGAAGGCCAAGACTCCCCAGGCTTGGGATGCTGGCATCTGCCCAAAGACATCCAGTGGGAAAACAGGGCGATGCCGGCCTCCCTCCTGGGCAGGTGGGTGGGGAGGGCTATCTCCTGGCTTCCCTGGGCTCCTCTCACATCCACCCCACAGGCTGGGCGTCCTCTCTTGGCTGCCTGGCAGCCTGCCCCTGACCTGCCACATATGAGACCAGGGAGCAGAGTGGCCCTGACCCCAGGGCAGCAGGGGGCCCAGGGTGGCGTGGCTGTTGAGCCTGGCTGGGGGTCTGGCTCGGGACCCTGTGTGCTGCCTGTGGAGGTGTGGAGGATGGGCCCAGCCTTTTCCCCACAGAGGCTCTGAGCACCTGCTAGGGGCACTTTGCATCCACACAGCCATCCCAGCTTTTACAGATGGGGAGCCGGAGGCCAGAGGGGTGAGTGCTTACCCGGTATGGAGCTGGCGGGGCTGGGAATCAGACCCAGGTCTGCCGGCGGGACTGGCACAGCCGGAGCGGAGTGCAGCTCAGGCTGGAACTGGGGGGTCGGATGCAGCGTCTCTGGACCGGGAGTTTTGCACAAGGGGATTCTCGGGGCCCTGAGGCTCAGTGTGTGCTCACGGGTCTGTGTGAGCTTGAGCCCGCACCCCAGACCGGGTGGCCCTCATGGCCTTCCAGGGCTAAAACAGCCATGATTTTGGGAACTGTCTGCCGGTTTATTTTTATGATTATTCTTGGTTTTGAGGCACCTGTTTTAGAATGTCACCTGCTGTTTTGGATAAGTCTGAGCCTCTATTCCTTCCACCCAGGGACAGTGGGTGCTTGCCAAGCCCTCCAAATGGGGTCAGACTCGCCCCAGGTCACCTAGCAGGTCCCAGGTGACCATGGCCAGAAGTTAAGTCTTTCTTCACCCCCTCGATCCCCCTACCACCCACCCCAGGGCTCCCTCTACCCCAGCGCAGAGAGATGTCACTGGTGGGCACGGACTGAGCTCTGTGGGGGAGGGCAACTGGGCCCCATCTCACCCGACTCTGCCTCAGTTCTACCAGCTGAGAGCCCTTTGCTGAGACTGTGGCTTTGATGGAAACGTCAGTGTCTCTGGGAGGGGAATGGTCAGTTGGAGGTCCTGCGCGTCACCCGCCAGCTCCTCCCTGCCTCCCTGTCACCCAGTTCACCTCTAGCTGGGATAGCTGCAGCTGCAGCAGCCCCTGAAACCCCTCCCCGCCTCAGCCTCTCCAGGGGCTGCTGGGACAGGCATTCTGTTGTGTACACTGGCCTGGCCTCAGCCTGCTCCTTCTGCCTGAAGACCCTCAGCCTGGTCCTCTCGGCCTGTTCCCTCTGCCTGGAATGCTGTTCCTCTGACTGCCACCTGGTGACGGCCCTGGGCACCCACATCCACTGTCCCACAGAGGCCCCCTAAGTCCCCCTGACACCCTAGTGTCCTGGAAGCCCCTGCCCGTGGGGAGCGATGATCCCACAATCTGAGGGGCCCCTGCTGGCTAGTCCTTCCCAGGGTCCCAATGACTCCCGTCAAGGTGCCCCCAGGTGGGTGCTTCTGGCCCCGCTGTGCCTGTGGGGAACGAATACAGTGGAGCCAAGCCTTGTGCCTGGGCTCACTCAGCTAGGCGGCAGGAGGGCTGAGCTCTGCTCGGATCTGCCTGCTGGCTCTTTGACCCAGTGCCCAGGCTCAGTCTTCCGCTGTGCCAGCCCTGTGTGCAGAGGGAATCCGAGGCCGGGGTTGGGCAGCTGGCCCCAGGCCACACAGCCTGGTGCAGTTTGGAGGTGTCAGACTGGGACTTAGACCCCAGCACTGGGGGCACAGAGGGGTCCCGGGCAGACCTGGCCCCACCATCCTGAGCTCACAGCTTCAGGTAGGGTGGGAGATGGCTGGCACGGCTGGGATGGGCCTCAGGAGGGTCAGATGGAACCGTGCTCCTGGCAGTGGGAAGGGCACAGTGAGTGCGAAGGGCCCGAGGTGGGAAGGAGACTCTGTGTTCAGGGCTCTGTGAGAGCCTGGGCTGTGGGGACGGCTCTGGGACGTGTGCTGAGGGGTCAACCTGAAGTTCTTTGGGCCCTGACACCCCTTCTCAGGGAGGCCCTCCGAGACCGCAGCCCTGCACTCCTGCACCTCCTGGATCCCCCCACAGCGCCCCGCCACGCGCAGTTCCCTATGTCCCTGCTTTTCTGTTCACTGTGCTTCCCCCAGTGGGCTGGGAGTGCCTTGGGTCCCTGGCCTGGGCTGGCCCCTCTGAGTCACGGAGTCACTGGTGAGTGACGAGCTATTTTTAAAAGCCCCCTCTGATCTTCAGCCTCAGTTTCCTTATCTATAAAGTGGAGTTGCTAATCCCACTCATCCCAGGAACTTGACAAGAAGACAACTAGACCACCCGGGGGCCCCAGGAAGTGCCCAGAAACCGTCCAATGCACAGCCCCCGTCTGTCCAGCCGCAGACCTCGCCTTTGCTCAGAGAGGGGCAGAGACTTGCCCTCGGCCACTCAGGAGACCACCCTGGAGCCCAGGGACTGGATGAGCCCTGGGGGGTCAGGGGAAGGATGAGCAGCTATTGAGGGAAGAAGATGGGCAAGTGGGCAGGCCCAGCCTCCGGTGGGGCGCATTCCTGGTCCCTCGAGGTCACCAGCTGCTCCACGCCGGCACCCTGGCTGCTGGCCAGTTCCCAGCCCGCTGCCCCCTCGGGACCCTGCCCCGCCGCCTTCTCACAGCGCAGCCCCAGTGCGAGCTTCGCAGGGCTGGGGCCAGCTTCCAGGTCCATACTGGGGGCTGGCAAGCAAGCCTTCCCTGGGCCTCAGTTTCCCCACCTCTAAGGGGTAGAGGAAGCACTAGCGCTGCCGCAGAGGGCCTGAGCTGTGGCACGGCAGGATGGGCACTCAGCAGAGGAGAGTGGTGCTCAGAGCCCGTCCCCACAAAGCTCCCACCCTGGCCTTGCCCCTGCCCCAGTGGTGGGGGGGTGGTGACTGAGGCCCCAGAGCCTGCCAAGTGCCTCTGGGGTTCCCAACTCCATCCCTGGACTGGCCTGTGGGCCACCCTGCTGCCTTGCCATGTGGGGAAACCCAGGCCCAGTTCTGGGCGCCCAGCAGATGCTCTGTGAGAGATGAACGGAGGGATGACTGAGTGAATGAATGAAATCCAGAGTTGGGTGGGTACCCAGACGCACAGCTCCCCCTCATGCAGCTGGCCCAGTTCCCGCCCGCGCTCTCCCTCGGGTCTCTGTTTTCTCATCTGAGAAATGGCTGCCTGTCTGGCAGGACCTGCTCTGAGTGCTCCCCGGCCTGGGTCCAGAGGCAGCTTCTCTGCCTTTCCCCTCCCACTCCTGCCTGGCTGGGGGTGAGGACCCCTGCAGGGAGCAGCTCTGGAGCCTCCAGTCTGGGGAAGCTGGGGAGAGGGAGGACAGGGCCAGCCCACAGGGGCACTTACCACGCTTCACCCGGCAGGCTGGAGTCAGGGAGTCCTCAGCTCTCAGCTCTGCAAGCAGCCCAGACCTCGCCTTCCTAGGGCCTGACGTCAGGCCAGCGCTTGGGGCTCCTTTTGGGCAAAGGCAGCAGGGTGGGGGCGGGGCAGCCTCCTTCCCCGCCCCCAGGAGGAGCCTAGGCTCCAAGCCTGAGGGAGGGTGCCTGGGCATCAGAGTCCCCACACTCACTGGAGACAGAGGGGGAAACTGAGGCACAGACGAGGTGACCCTCAGCTGCACCATCCAGGAGTAGGAAAGGGGGAGAGAGTGGTACCTCCAGTCCCAGGGGCTGCAGGGGCCCAGGAGATGGTGGCTGGCACTGGTGTGTGCTGTGTGGGGTAGGGGGTGGGAGCACACTAGAGCCCAGGTCGCTTCCTGGGAGGGGCATGGCACGGCTTCAGCCCATGCCAGCCGGGTTCCCGCATGGCTCTGTGTTTTGCATGTGTCCCGGGTCTGGCTGTGTCCGTGTGTACCCATGACCGAGAGCCTGCACGCCTGGCATCTGGGCCTGTTTGCGCCATGCACAGGTGGCACATGGCATGTGGGCTTGGGTGTGTGGGAGGGACCTGGATGGGACCCGGGTCAGCAGGTGGGGAGAGCGTGTGTGTGGGTCTTACACCCCAGCACTGGAGGAAGCGTGAGCCCATTGACAGGCTTGATCCCAGAGGTCTGCCGGAGGGCCACACCCTCGAACAGCCTCTGAGTGGGAGCCTATGGCCAGCCTGGGGTGGCGGCGGGGGAGGGGGTGAGGTCAGGGAGCAGTCGAGGCCATGTGCTGTCTCTGCTGAGAGCGCCGTCTCCTCTCTTTCCCATCCTGGGTGCTTCTGCTCACACTCACACCCTCATCTTCAAGGTGCCTAAGCGCTGAGCGCCTGCTGAGTGGGCTGTGCTGGGCACCGGAGACTCAGGGAACACTCCCCAGGGGAGGTGCTGGGCCTCCCCGAGCTCAGGCTAGTGTGATGCAGACCAACAGAGAGTAGGTGGGCCCTGGGGTCCTGACCCAGCCTGCTAGGGAGGGAAGCAGTCTGGGAGGGCTTCCTGGAGGGGGCAGAGGGAGATGTAACAGGAAGCAGGCATCCTGGATGGACAGAGGGACAGGAGGCCATCAGAATAGCTCCTGGGGAGCAAAGCCGGAAGTGGGCAGGGGACGTCCACACTGAGTCTCAGCAGCCCCTACGTGCATCAGAGTGCTGGAGCTGAGCTTGTAGGTGACGGGAGCCATTGAGAGTTCTGGGAGAGGATGGTTTCTTCACGCTGCCACCGGGCTGAGCCCACAGGCTGCAATGATCTCCTTTAGAACATGATTAAGTCTGTTCTAGCTGGGGAAACTGAGGCCCAGAGAGGCACAGGGGTCTCTGGCCATCAGCCTTTCACACTGTCTGGGCCAGCACCGGCTCCTGGCAGGCAGGGTGAGGTCAGAGTGTGGGGTGTGGATGGGGCTAGCCCTGCCACACTCCCCTGAGTCTCAGCCTACAGAATGGGTCAGCAGGGCCTCAGGGGGACACCGGGGCCAGAGACCAGGGAACTCGCCAAGTTGGCCCCATCTTTGAGACATGAGGACACCAAGGCCGGAGAGGGGTTCCGCTGCCAAAGCTCCGAGGCAGCTGAGCTCCACACCAGCCTTCCCGCCACCCGGGCAGGTGCCCCCTTCATGCCCTGGCCTCCTTGGGGCCGGCCAGGTTGTGGCTGGGAGGGGTGCTTCCCATCATCCAGGTGTCCAGGTCCACCCAGCGCTGGCTCACAAGGTGCTGGGTGAGTGGGGTTCTCGGTGAGTGGGGTGCAGGGTGAGTGGGGTGCTGGGTGAGTGGGGTGCAGGGTGAGTGGGGTGCTGGGTGAGTGAGGTGCTGGGTGAGTGGGGTGCTGGGTGAGTGGGGTGCAGGGTGAATGAGGTGCTGGGTGAGGTGCTGGGTGAATGGGGTGCTGAGTGGGGTGCTGGGTGAGTGGTGGGTTCCCCAAGCAGAGGCAGCAGGAGGAGGATTGCCACCTTGGGGGGCTTCTCACATGTCCCGTTTCACCTGGCCTGTGTCCGGACTAGCCCCATCATCCTGCTCACCTCCTGGTGAGGGTTCCCGCAGAAAGCAAGGGGATTAAGTCCCTCCCCTCCCTCGGTCTCACACAGCTGGGCCCTGAAAAGTCGGGTGGCAACCTGGAAGCTTGGAGGCCAGGCCACTGGGTTCCCACCATCCCAGACCTTCCACTTAGGGTTTGAGGAGGTGGCCAAGCCTCTGGGGTCTGACCCATGGTGGTGCTGCTGGGGCAATAGACTCCCCAGGAAGAGGGAGAGAGGAGGTCCCCGGGGTCCTCTCAGGGACCTGGCCCTGCTCCCTCCCTCCGGGGCCTCCTCTGACACTTGGCCCAGCCAGGGAGGGGCACTAGTGGACCAGAACAGGTGCCAGGTCCGGCGGGCTTGGTGGCGGGGCTTGCGGTGGCCACGTGGACCCTGCTTGGAGCGCCTTATCCCAGGTACTGGAACACAAAACAGGGCCGAGTATGGAGCCCCACTGCGTGGTGCCCTGCAGGGATGTGACCCGGTTGAAACCACTGGTGTAGCAGGTCAGTCACTCAGCAGGCAGTGCCCACCAAGCAAACCTATAACAGCTGCCACGCACTGAGCACTTCTGGACTGCCGGGCACAGGGGAAGATGATTAATCCCCCAAATCACCTTATAATGGGCATCCTGTTTCCATCTGCAGAAGAGGAAAGGGAGGCTCAGAGAGGTAAAGTCACTTGCCCAAGGTCACACAGCTAGGAGGGTGGAGCTGGGACCAGGCTGGAGTCTCTCACCCTTTACAGAGCCCCCACATTGCCCTGCTGAGCCAGGCCTGCTTTCTCTCTGGAAACTCCAGGAACCCAGCCTCTGGGGAACTGTGGCAAGGACCCCGAGGCTGGCCGGGAACCCCAGGGCAGAGAGGGTGGGGTCTGAGATCCCTCCTGGGCCCAGGCGCCTGCCTGGGGTGGCCCCCACGAGCTGCCTGGGCTGGGCTAAGCTGAACTCCCTCCAGAGTCGGCCCAGTCCTCCCAGGTCAAGAACAGGCCACGTCCCCAGCAGGGCTCGGGACCTGCTTTCTATTTCAGCACACCCCAGCCCCCGATGGCCCCTTGGGATGGGAATAACTGTCTGTCTGTGTCTGTCTGCTCAGCAGACCTCAGAGGGGTGGTCCTGGGCACCCCGGCTTTCCTGACCTCGGCTGCCTTGCTGGCCCAGGAGTGGGGAGCACGGGTGTCCAGGGGTAGCGTCTGTGCGGGCACGCTGCAGTGACAGCTGCTGTTCTCTGCCCTGCCCTCCACCTTCCCTCATAGCAATGGGCTTTGGTCACTGTGAGTGGCCTAGGCCGGCACATGCCAAGAGCTACTGGCGGGACATCTGGCACTGGTGGGCACGGGAACTGGTGAACTCTAAGGAGCAGGACGCGGACACCCAGGCTCTGAGCTCTGAACTCTCTGGCTCGGAAGTTCTGTGATCCCAAACTTTCACGAAGTTGCTTGGGTTCAGGGTTTCTGGGACAAGCCCACCCAGGCACTGGCCACCAGCTCAGGACTGAAAATGCGACTGAAGCTCTCTCTCCTCACCACCTCTGCAGAAGCCTGAGCCTTCCCACTTGCACAGCTCTGCCCACTGTTCTCTCCACCTAGAAGGCCCTTTCCCACACGTGCAAACCCACCTCTAGCTGCAAGGCCATCTCTTCCAGGAAGCCTGCCTGCTGGTTTGTCTGAGCCCTGAATTCTGGGGCAGTCTGGGCCTGGATCGTCTGCTGGGATTTTTCTGCGCCAAGTGTGTCTCCAGCCAGATGTTTGACTTCTCTGAGATAGGACCAAAGTTTCACTTGTATCTTCCTCCTCTCCGTTGCTGAGCTTACGGGAAGGTAAACAGTAGAAGCTCAATAAATGCAAATACCTACTCATCTTAAAAATGTGTGGGGAGGGCAGGGCTCCAGGCTGGCATGGCCGCATTGCAGGCACCTGGGCCCCTTTTCTGCCTGTAGAAACTTCCCCACAGAGCCTTCCTGGGTGGTACACACTGCTCTTATGTGCGGGAAGTTCTTCCTCGTTTCTAACCTTATTCCTTCCTGCTGCAGCTTCACGTCCTTCTGGCTGGGTTTTGAGGATCCTAAGAGCTGGAGCTGCACCCTGCCCTCTCCTCCTAGGGGGCAGGAGACCATCTCTTGGTGAGTGGAAGGGATTTGATGGTCTTGGGGGATGGCAGTGGGGGATGCGCTGTCGATATTACCTTCACCGTCACAAGCAAGGGAATGAAACCTCTGGGAGGTGGAGCCGGGATGTGAACTATGCAGGTGAGCCAGGGTCTCGGACTGGCCCCGCGGCTGTGAGCCTCATGTTTCTCTGTGCAAAGACCCTCCTGCAGTGGGTTCCTCCCCTCCTCGCTGAGGTTGGCCCCTCCCTCCTGGGGGAGCCCTGGGCAAGTCCCAGCCTGTCCTTCCGACCTGGGTCTGTCCATCTGGGCAGTGGGGGTGCAACCCCAACGAGGCGGTGGAGGAGTCAGGGTCACTATTTATAGAGTCCTGTTGCCTCTGCCGACTGCCTGTCGCCCTGGAGGAGTGCTCGGGAATGGGAGGAGAGATGCTGTTGTTGGCGGGGTAGATCACTTTCCGGAAAGCTGGTGCCAAGTCTCCTGGTTGGCAGGCGGGGGAGGGCGCTGGGAACCGAGCAAAGGGGAGTGGATGGCACCCGACAACGGGTAGTCTCAGCAGGGTAGGGAGGGCCCTGGTGGGGGCTGCAGAGCAGATCTCAGATGCCCCTGCTAAAGCCCTAACCCAGGATCCCGAAATCCAAACTGCTCTGAGATAGGGAAGCGTTTAGGTAGGTTTGACGCAAACTCACTCAGCCGTGTAGACTGACTGGCCCCAGCCTGGGGGTAGTCGCAATCCATTTGTTCCTCCCGTGTGCAGATCCACAAGGCTGGCAGCGGAAGTGTGAGTGCGCACGGCGGAGGCGCGTCCCAGGCCCCATGGGTGCGTGATGTCCTGCAGGTGCGCCTCACTCTTTCAGAGCCAGGTCCTGAAGGGCACACAGCCTTCTAAGTTTCTACAAGC